GTGGCCGCGTGGGATCTTGTCAGGGAGCACTCAGACTTTCTTTACCTGCCACGAGACGGACGAGACGTTCGAGCACAGTGCAACAATCTTCGTTTTCGCGACTCCGGAGATGTAAGGGGGAAGAACCCGAAACCCTAAACCCTAAACCCCTAAAGTCCTAAACCCTAAACCCTAAACCCCTAAAGTCCTAAACCCTAAACCCTAAACCCCTAAAGTCCTAAACCCTAAACCCTTGAACCCCCAAACTCTTGCGTTAGCAACCCGGAGGGTCGACAGACACAGAGCCACTCGCGGAAGGAGAAATGACCAAGGGCTCGGCGAGTTGAGGGCTTTCGGAGCCTAGGTCTAGGGTCTAGGGTTTAGGGTTTAGGGTTTAGGGTTTAGGGTTTAGGGTTTAGGGTTATGCAACATTGAGGGTTTAGGGTTTGGGGTTTAGGGGAGCAGGGTTTACTAGCCAAGTTTTCAGGACCCTCTGTTCAACCCGCATAGAACTCCCTGAGACCCTCCCTCCATCTATCCATCCATGCATGCATGCATGCATGCATGCATGCATGCCTCCGTCCGTCCATCCATGCATCCATGCAACCATCCATCCCTCCGTCCATCCATCAATCAGTCAATGAATCAAGCGATTAATCTATCTATCTGTATCTGATGCTATGATCAATTCCATATAAGTCCCTGTGAAAAAAGCAAAAGACGAATCTCAATGCAATACCCGACACCCCAAGCCCTGAAGCGTAAACCCCTTCGACTGACGGTGTATTCACGTTGGTTGTGAGTGCCAACCGCCAGTTTTGGGTTCAGGAGTATAACCTTATACTAGTTGGTGTAAGTTTACGGGCATGGCTGGTTTTAGAAAAATGATCAGAGAATGTGGTACTCGTACACTAAGTTCGAATGTCAACAGATAGTTGATGCACTAGTGAAGGCTAGGAGGTGATTTCCAGGAGATGAGCTTTGTTTGGGGTTGAGGCTTGGAGGCTTAGGGTTTCGAGTTTAGGATTTAGGGTGTAGGATTTAAGGTTCAAGGACTTCATCAGACCGTTTTATGCGGAGCTCGCACCCATTAGACTATGTATCCGTATCATGCTATCTTAAGGTATGTTCCTTCCCTAGGGCTCCAAGTATACAAATAGTACCTACTTTGGGGTCTAAAGTCTGTAAATAGTACCTACTTTGGGCCCCAGAGACTCCAAAACCCCTCAATTAAGGAATATACCTTAAATCATATTAGGGATCCTATTATAATTTAAGGTATATTCCTTAATTAAGGGGTTTTGGAGTCTCTAGGGCTTTTTGGAGCCCCAGGGCTTGACGTCTTAAGACCTTGGCGCCGAGCTTCCACCTGAAACTGGCCCTAAACCCTAAACCCTAAACCCTAAACTCTAAACCCTAAACCCTAAACCCTAAACCCTAAACCCTAAACCCTAAACCCAGGCTCCCGTGAACCATGCTCGGCAGGACCTCTTTCATCTCAGGGCGAAAGGGTCACTCAAGACTGATGGGGCTTTTTGGTATAAATCCTGCATTGCCCATAATAAGGAATGTACCATAGTTCCCATAGTTTAGGGTCCTTATGGTAGTGAGCCGTAGGGCTCGAAGCTCCAAGGACAGCTAGCATAGGGGTCGTCATAATCAACAGTCGTATTCCCTTATCGTCCTGGTTTAGGGTTTAGGGTTTAGGGTTTAGTTTTAGTTACAATAACGGTGCATTCGATCTCAAAACCCTTTTCCAATTGTGAAGGTCCCTTGTTTTCTCCAGGGAAGTTCTCGCTGAATGTAAGGGCTCAGGGTTTCAGGCTTCGGGCGTAGGATTCACTTATTAGTGTCTGAGTAGGTAACGTTTAACCTTTTGGGGCTCTTATAACCCTACTATATTTCAAAAGGTTAACACCCTAAACCCTAAACCCTAAACCGTTTTGGGGCTGGGGCACTCAGCCCCTAAGTTCCAATTGTGAAGGTCCCATTTTTTTCCCCCAGGGAAGCTCTCGCTGAATGTCAGGGCTCCGCGTTTCAGGCTTCGGGCGTAGGATTCAACCAGGGTCTAGTAGGGTTTAGGGTTCAGGGTTTAGGGTTTAGAGTTTAGGGTTTAGGGTAGTGTTTAGGGTTTGAGAGTTTAACTTTTGTCAGTTCTAGGCCTTACCTATAGTCTCCATTGTAGTCCTTTCTTTGGTTAACCAATTTTACGGTTGGGATCCTACAAGATTAACTCTTTTTTTTTTATACCAAAAAAGGAACCACGATGGAAACTATAGGTAGACTTCTAAGAGGTCGGGGGACTTGTTCAAGGTTGGCTGGTTTCCCTGAGCCTTCCGTTTCTCCCTCAGCCGAATGCAAGCATCCAGCGAATCGTCCTCGGAGTTGCGCGAGCTTGCCGGAGATTTCAGATGGATGCCTTTAAAGGTGACAGCTTCATGTATTGATTCACCTTCTATTCTCACCCCCAAGACCCTACCTAAGTGCTGAAACGGCACAAAGCCCCAAGAGTTCCACCATCGGTTTTGAGTGCAACCTTGCCCGAGGTCGACGGGAGTGATTGTTCATGGCTGAGGGTTCTTTTTTCGTATTTTTTTTGGTTTTTGTTTTCGTATTTTTTTGGTTTTAGGGTTTAGGGTTTAGGGTTTAGGGTTGTTCATACTATCGGAGCTGCATAAGGTGTTGACTCGGGCTCTACGTCGGGCATGAGAATCAAGACGTTGTAGTCTGAAGTTGCAGGCTGTCCAACTTGCAAGTTAAAATGCCGATGACTAAAAGCCTTGCAAATTCAACCCCGGATGTCCGAAAGCCGTGTAGTTAAATACCCTCTAGATTGCGTTTGCCTCTAATATAACGGCCTATAGAATAGGAATAGGTTATGGGGGGTATATTATACTATAATTTTACTAGGGAACCCCCCAAAACCCGATTCTAACTATTAAGGCCCCTACATTACTCCGACCGTGAGAACCTAGATACTTCCGGGGTTACCGGAGTGGCCAGACCCTGTCTATATGTACATAGGCTTTAGGGCATTAGGGGTTTGGGGTATTGGGGTTTTCGGGCTTAGGGCATTAAGGGTTTAGGGTTTAACGTATTATAAGGCGTCTTGGGCCAGGGTACGTACATATACATATACTACATATCTACCCGTAGGCTCCATAGTAGTCCCTTTTTGGGGGATTACCTTATAGGATCCTAACTATAACCCACATGATGGAGCTATAATGGGTAAGGTACAGATATAGCTAGAGGTATATACATATCTTGTCCAAAACTTCTGGGAGGATTGCGCCGCGCGTGTTTTCCGCACGCTCGCGGAGGCCTGTTCTCCTTCGCAGGGCTTGGAACTCAACGGCTGCAAGCATAGGGCTCGGTTCAGGAATTTAGGGTTTAGGGTTAGTATAGGGTTTA